TAACAAAATACATTTTCATCGTTGTAGCCCAGTAAGCAAACATAAATTATTCATGGGTATATTTTGTGGTTAACAATTCTTCTTGCAACAATCCTTACAACATTTTTGTTAACAAGCTTTTAAATAAATCACATCTGCTGTCATATGGCCTAATCCACTAGAATAACACAATTTAATTGCCGTATGTCTAGTTTTATTTTTATTAAGTGTTAGAAAATGAAAGCTCAGGTTTATTTGTATAATAAATAAAGTTGTAACGTAGTTTAATTCCTAAACAATTTGAAAACAATCTTTTTTATTTGTTACGTCAAAAAATGTTAATTTGATGGCAGATGTATGAAACTCAATGAATGCAAACATGAAGACCAATCGATAGCAATGTTGACAGATTGGTGTAGGACAGTTTTGGATTTTTAGTTTTAATTTATAATAACTTATATGCCTTTGAAGTTGATACTGCAATGAAGAGTTATAACATTCATGATTTAATCAATGCTTTGGTTCCCTGATCTATTATACTGTTACATCCCTTTGACCAGTATGCCGGCATGTCCACACTGACATTATATTGTTAAGTACATAGGTCAGGTGTTGCATGTACTAATGATTACTCATCACATGGTCTAACACCATCATACCATCAGCTGTACAATCAGCTGTTAAGCAACCACACAAAGCTTTGACACAGTGATGATACAAGTAAATATTTAAATAGCCGGGATGGATCGTATAAGCACATTTAGTTTGTTTGGAATATTAATGCACTTTGATGGGGTCCAATTCCTTGTTTATTGTTTGCTGGTATTTGCTTTGTATGCCCATATTAGTTTAAATAGATTTAAAGAATTATTTTCTAACGTGGGGTTGTCTTTTTTAGATTTAGTCAGTAGTTGTCATGATTTGCATGTTGGGTGTGTTGTGCTTTCCTAAATGGAATAAAGTCCAGTTTTTATTGAGATATTCACAACATATTAGAATACAACACAAACAGGTCATTTGGGCTTAGGCCCAAATATATCTGCATTTATTTCTAAACTTGAAGAATTATTGATATATTCATCGAAATGATACCAGAAAAAAATTAAAGAAATTCACATTAAAATTACCCATTAGTTTATTCCCTTTTAAAACATTTTTTCAGTTCAAGGTAAGAAACTAAGTTTAATTCAGTTACAGCCAAAGTTTACTGCTCATACACTAACTTTGGAATTGTGTCAAACTAAAAGAGCAAAATATTATAAGCCGTAGCGTTTCTTTATCAACTATAATAATATAAAAAAACTTAAAGAGAAAACTGGACTTATTTAGAACCTGACTCTAGCACTTGCTTGTTCAACTGCATTTCCCCTTATTGAGCAAATAATATACTTGGCTAATAAACATCTACTTTAGTGTCCAAATTTTGTTTTTATTTTATCATAAGATGAACTGATTTTGGGAAAGGGATAGGTTATGCATTGATGTAGTATGAATAATAAATTAGATCGTGTAATAGTGATATAAATAACATTTTATATTTAAGAATTTCCTTTCATGCACGATGATTTAAGAATTATCTACTGTTCATGTGTTTATAAAAAACAACCTATCAAATTAATATTTTTATTTTAAAATTACATTAAAAAGGTTTATTAAAAATTAAATTTATTTTATAATTTTTGTTAAAATTTGGTGTGTGCTTATGTAATTAACTTATCGTGCAAACTTAAGTCAATAGTAAGATTAAATCCTGAAATAATGCTGTCTTTACTTCCATCATATTGCTGCTAAAACAAAATACATCCTCCACCAATGGCACGACAGACAAACCAATCACCAGATTCAACAAACTACAACGATAGCATTCACTGGGCGGAACAACGTAAATAGAATAGTGGATGAATCGTTCTGGCGTGAGACTACTGTAGTAATTGGTTACTTTCAAGTACATCCTGTAGCAGATAGAGTTTAAGCTTTTGATTAAAAACTTCATCACTCCTTACAGAAAGTAGGCTTATATGATTTTCAAACACAGCTGATATCAAAGAAAGTAATAATTGTCACCCGACAAAGTGGGCTTCCTTGCACAGATTATAGTACAGAAAGCCTTGCTTTGGCGTATCTTGAACCGAAAGTGATTTTCCGGCACTTTACCCAATTGTTCTAGGCTTCGCTTCGTACGTGAAAATAACCCTCACTCGGCTTCGCCTCTTAGGTGAACTCTAGTGTTCCTTGTGTTCGGCTTTGCCTCTTACATGAAACTTGAGTGCACTCCAGAAAATCCTACTTTCACTACTAGTACTTAAATATAATATTTTTAACAAAACCAATGAAGAAAATACGTAAACAAAATTTCGGATTTTTTACCTTTATTCCCTACATTTAGTGGTTTTCGATGATAAATTCCTAATTTATACCATTTTAAAGCACAATCCTTCACCTAGAGAAAAATGCAAATAAAAGATACACAATATTTTTATTGCAGAGAAAAAACTACAAACGTTTTGCCAAGCAAGCAATCTAAAAATAAACTCAGGTTTAATTAAAACACAACATTTTGAAAGGTGTAACCAGAATTACATAGAAAGACCGTAACAAAGATAAAACAAACACTAGACCCTTAGGCTGTGAGTTTAGTCCGCTTCTCGGTACAATAGAGTTCTTGTGATAATTTCGTTCCTTTGACAACGCCTTGAGCAGATCAACCTAACTGTCCAATTAGTCTTAGAGTAAATTCAATTTAGTTGAATATTCATCTAGAGGTTACCAAGTATTTCTGAACGATTTCTTATAAATAAAAGTGTCATTTCATATTATATTTACATCTTCGTAGTACTATTTAGGTCGATAATATAGTAAATAAACCTTTAAGCATATATACTGTATAACCAATTAATCGTAGCACAATTTTTAAATATAAAAAAATATATATTTTAAATATTTTTATAATAATTAATACTACAGTATGTGGGGCTTCGATAATAATATTTAGTTATTTAAATATATGCCATAACACTTTACTTTCATGGAAAAAGAATGTCTGAAAAAAACTTAAATAATCTTTACTACAAACGTTCTTAACTAAACGTCTGCTGATAAAAATGAAAATACTCTTTATGGTTAAAAAATCTTCCACTGAGTGTTTTTGAAGGTCTGTGTTTGTTTTTTAATGTGCGATAGGATGTAGACAGATGACAACCACACAACACTGTCAATATCACTTGTTTGTCGGCGTTTTCAATGTTTATGCTTGGAATGTTCGGATTGAGTCTATGTTTTGGTTGGTATTTTTCTTTTATTTGATCGTATTTACTCTAAAGGATATTTTTATAAGAACAATAAATTAAATGATGACAGAATAAAATTAACTGTTGCTAATTGTTAATATGTGAAATATAATGAACAATTTATGAGAGACTAAGCAATGTAAAATCTTTACTATGGATTAAGTTGGATATAGTAAAAAATATTCTATAATTTTTGAAGTCTTGTGTATTAAGAAACCGAACAGAAATAAAATTTGTAATTAAAAATAAATATTAAATAATTTTTAGATAAATAGAGTAGAAGGATAATTATTGTACAGCTTTCAGATGTTAATTATTGTACAGATTTTTATGTCAATAAATCAAAGGTTTCTATTTTGATCAAATTAACCAGAAAATATTGCCAACTTCAAATATTTATCTATTATTAGGTCATACAAAATGACATTGGCTTAATAGTCAGGTTGGGTAGCAGGAAAATATTTCAGTTCTGGCAGAGAGGCTACAATTTTAGGAGGTTATAGTATACAAGTTTCTGAACCTAAAACCGCCCAGACCCCAATGTTGAAGGACCTCGGTCGTCCGTAATGACGTCATCAAAATGGCAGCCGTAGGCGGATGCTGGGTCCCCGTGAATTGGCTATAACGACCGAATGCCTGAACCGATTTTCATGAATTTTGGCTCACAAGTGCTGGAATACATTATCTCGGCCTGGGTTGAAAATGGTCAAGTTTCATCAAGTCATTTCAAAATGGCGGCTGTTCAAAACTTAAAAAAATATGAGGAAAATAATTGTGAATTGTTTTATACAGGGTGAGTTTCAAATGAGTTCCCCCCCTACTTTTTTATACATTTCTTAAGATATCAACTCAGAACCACGTCAGATCATTGTAGAGTAGCAAGTACTTCATTTTCACTGGGTTTAAGTTTTTGGCCGCCATCTTGGATCCGCCATATTGGATACAGATTTATTTTTTCAAAAGTAAAGGTAGGGTTGTGACCCATCGTTTCAAACCAGGGGCTGAATACGATGCTTTAATTCGTTTGAAAAAAATGTTTATCCATTCTAAAGTTATGAGAACTTTTTATAACATTACTTTTAGTCCATTATAACATTGTGCATTTACAAACTAAGGCCATAATCTCAAAATAGTGCTAGATAAAGATAAGTGGACACCACCATTCATTGTTGACCTATTTTTACTCGGTTATGACGGATGTATTTTTTTCAGCATTATCAGATAAGTAATATTGTAACATTATCAGATGAAGTAGATGTAAGATACAAATGATGCAGTGGGGAGGATGTGATAAGACCATCACTCACTAGTGACAGGAGGTCAATGACGCTCCTATTTCTTTTTTTCAACTTAATGCGCTATTTTTTGCGTGATTCCTGTTACAACTTATTTTTATGTATTTTTACCTGTTTCAAGTCACATTCATAGCCCTTATAATTAAACTGAATTAACATAAGGTATTGACGTTAATTGAGAGTTTATTTAGAAATGTATAATATCAGGACAGACTAAACAATCTTTTTCAGGTAAACGTAAATAAACTTGTAGGAATATGATATATTAAACGTTTAAATAAATACACAAGAAAGCTTTAATTCTTTACAATCAACTAAGCTATTGTGTAGAATGTTTATTATAATAAATATCATTTTTTAAGATTAATTGTACCAATTATTTTGTTAATCAATTCACTTTTGAACTTATTTTGATATGGAGATAATAACTACTGATAACCTGTTGTTTTAACAATATTTTAATACTCGTATTATTGAAATAAAACAATCAAAATAAATAAGGACAGACAATTATGCACAAAAACTAATCCTACTGGTTTAAGCTTTTTAAATATGGTATGTAAGTTTTCATGTACTTCGGCCTTGGAGGTTGACGGTTTTCTTGGAAGGAATACATCCTTATGAGTAGATTCATTCTGACTCCATAGTAAACCCAGTCGATCCCTCTGAAGTACATCTTCTTCGGAACTGTATCTCCTGAAAACAATTTCTACTCGTTTAGCATTTCAGAGATGGTAAAAGTATTCGGTCATAGCACTTTCTTGTTTAGGACAAAAAAGGTATATCTTATTATGTGAAGAAAAAAACATTTGGTCAGTAATTTTTTTAGTTCACCACATAATTGCAAACTAAAAAGTGTTTTTTTTCCAAACAGATTTTACTAAAAGCTCCAGTTGTGTGGTAATAGTTTCTCTAGATATTTTCGTAAAATATTCTACCTTACTCAAAATCATTTAAAATTAGCAATAGTTACCCATGAAAGTGTCAAAGAGGAGTACTCTACTATTAGTGGTTTAAAAGTGGTTTATATTACCTGTCCGTCAGTGATCCTATTGTTGTCGTCTTATGCGACCGGTTTCAGGATTAAAATCCCATCATCAGGCTGATAAAAATGTCATGTCACTCAAGTTGAGGTCGTCGGTAAACATAAAAACACACACATACAACACGAAACAAGAAAATACGAAATAACATTGCTAGCTACTGGCCAGTACAGGACACTACCACGCCACTCAGTCATGACCACGCAACTACCCGTGCCGCGTCGTAGTGTCCTGTACTGGCCAGTAGCTAGCAATGTTATTTCGTATTTTCTTGTTTCGTGTTGTATGTGTGTGTTTTTATGTTTACCGACGACCTCAACTTGAGTGACATGACATTTTTATCAGCCTGATGATGGGATTTTAATCCTGAAACCGGTCGCATAAGACGACAACAATAGGATCACTGACGGACAGGTAATATAAACCATTTTTATTCTATAAGTGATCCTGGGCCACTAAGCATAACGATATTAGTGGTTTATTAAAACTGTTTCGTAAATAAATTAGTTTTCAGACTTACAGGTTGAAGACTTTTTAATTTCTTATAATAGTGTATGCTTACACATTATATTTTGAAATAACACAAATCTTGTTACATACTTTATTAATAATATTCGACGTCAATGGTAATAGTGTGCGCTTGGTAAGCAAAATGTTGCTGTATCAACTTTAAAAAGTCAATAGCTTATTTGTTGCATGCAACATGAACATAGTAAAAAATATCTGCACAAGGCATCTCTCTCCATTTTCCATTAATCTTTTACTTACTCACAATTGAGGATATGAACAGCGTTATATCCTGCGAGAAGCTAATACAATTTTAAACTGTTCATTGTAGGTCCAAGATATTATTTTCTAAAAGAAGATGATTTTCAATAGAAGAACCAGTGGTTACTTACTATGGAACGTGCCCAGAAAGCCAATGTCTAGACGGGGAGACATGGTGGTTCCTTGTATTGCGGATGAGGATCTTACATGCCATCCCCGACCTTCGTAAATAGTGCCATCCCCTCCCACTAGGAAACTGAAAATCAACCACAGATCAACATACTGTCATTGACCACAAGAGCGGTTTCATGACAAACATACAAAGTTTTCCAACATTATTCTTTCCGACATATTTTCGTTTTCTATATCAAATCTAGGTAGATCTAAATGAAACTAACTGCAATGATATCCTAAAACTATTTAGCCTGGTTCTTTCCAACTGTAACGTGAAAGACGATTTAAGTTTTTGCTAATGTTGTGTTGAGTTATTTAGCTTAAGTAACCTTCAAAGTGCATAAAATAGGAAAATTACTCTGTATTTAAGGTTAAGGGATATGCAAACTTATCCAATCCCCACAATAACCTAGTTTTGTACGAGGGCCCTGGAATAATCACAAAGTTCTGCATTTTATTACTTCAACACCTATCACATAAGCACGTTGGTTTTTATTTCTATATAAAACTAATGTGTTCATTAAGATCCAACATGATACTGTTCCAATACACACCTAAAATAACCCTAGCGCATCATCAAATTCTGCTGGTTGTTTATCCTATGACCAATTCTGGTTTGTTTTATAAAATGATCCTAGTACATCGTAAACATTTTCTTCTTAGCAGTTCATTACCAATCACAAGGGATAATTTTGTATGATTCATTCATTTAAAATAGGTGGTTTTACAGTTTATTTAATTTCAACAAGATCCTGATTAATTGATTGGTCTATCAAACATTACGCAGTATATCAAATAAGTAACCAATACATTCGATCAATTGGTATTTGTAAAATAAGTTATGAGGCTTTTCAGATGGATTTTAAGACAGGACCAAATCGGAAACAATAAAAATCAATCAGGTTCGACGTTTAGCAGCAGGAGTCTCATCTGTTTCCTCTTGCGTTGAGGAAGCGCGAAGAAAACCTCCAGCATTCCAGAAACCTGCTTCTGCTTGCAAATAGTAAAAGAAAGCTAAACTGTCATCGTGTAGTCCATGTGGCGCAAATTAATGTAAGGGACTTCCGCCGACCCTTCAGATTGGCCCAATGACCCTATGGGACCCTGACACCCTCCCTGAGGTACCCCATTCCCCACTCCACTGTAGGGGACATTGTGAAGACACATTTATTGCCAAAAAGGTCATAGTGTTTTTTCCTAATTTATAGAACTTTCATGGCTGCAAAGCATATAAAATTGTATTTTGTCTGCACAATCGTGAATTGAAGAAAATATTTGTAACCTGAAAGGAATATCAGACAAGCCCTCGTCCATGTAATCCTTCTGCATTTTCCTCAGCAGAGGGAAGCACTCTTCGTCACCGCTGCAGCTTGCAGTTCCGGTGTTGTAGTTGAAACACACATGTTCCATAGGGTTGTTGTTGAGGTGGACCTTGATTGGAGGCTCTGCTCCCCAGTTAGTACGGGTTACGAACCTCGGCAGTACGTCAAACTCCATCGTTCACCTGAATTACGAAATGGAATAATAAAATCAGGTTAGTAGTTGCAAGTTTATTACAGTGGTGGTCCCAGGGAGGGATGGGAGGGATATATCCCCCCCCCCCCGAAATATTTTATATTTTTTTAGTTAACGTAAATACTATTAGCTTGAGCATATTTAAGAGCTCAAAAATGTATAAACATAGGTTTTTACGCTATAAATTCCACATTTTTTCCGGCAGGGGACCCCCGAACCCCCCTTTTTCTGGGGAATATTCAATACTCCCACGACCCCACAATGATCGTCCCCGAAATGTAATCCTGGGACCGACACTGATAGTTTAACCTGGTAAGAGGTTAGCAACAGTAGTCAAATTCCAATTTAACTTGGCTTGATTCCTTACTTTAAGAGGTGCATTAATAAACACATATACATTACATTAATAAACACTGCAAGTTTATACCAAAGAACCACCCCACGGTTTAGACAACTGTTAAGATGGGAAATAAATATAAGAAATTGCAAATTAACGAGATAGGATCTTTGTTTAATATATCTTTAAGAATTTATGTAATGTAAGGGTGACTAAAATATTACTTGACAGATAAAAATCATAGAAATAGACTAGTTGGAATGCCAGAAAAACACTTGATGTCGTTTGAGAGAAACTAATTTGTTAACGGAATCCGCTGCAGCCATGGGCGACGAGGAACTTTCAGTAGAAATATGAGGATGCCTATTACTAATCAAATCAGTTATTTTGAATCTGTAACTACCAGAGGGTTAAGTTAAAGTAAAACATGATGTTGATCTATTTTATCGCAAAATGTAAAATCTCAAAGCATGTTGCTAGATGTTAATCATTAAGTATTACTGTACTGAAATTAATATATGTGATATTTCAAAATAATTTTTAAAACCCCTGTAATCTGAAAAAAAACAACTTCATACTAAACATATCTGCTGGATGCAACAGAGAAGTAATTCGCACAGTTCAAGGATTTAGGAAAACTATCGTTGGGATTGATAAAAGATTTTTGTTTGATTTAAATAAATATAAAACCATCTCCTTGATTTGTATTTGCACATCAACCCATAATTTTATCCTTAAGTGTAAATCTTATGACGACATGTTATAATATTATACTGTTTGTTCACATAAACATTTATTAATATCCCTACTGAAGTGTAAAAGCACAACCCTTTAGTAGGTTGTATGTACAAATATATTAATACCCCATATATGGGTCACCAAAGTGCTAAAACAGAACCCTGGTATAAATGTTACGAACAAACATATAAAATAACATACCTTTGTTGTCTAAACTTAAATTGACAAGCAGTCGTCAAAAGATAAAACTGACAAACAACAAGAGCTTTAAAATACGCTTTGACGTAGACACAGATTGTTCTAGTCCCTAATATAAACTGACGTTATCTTAATGGAATTGTGAGTTTAGTTATCTAAACTACTCTCATGTTTTCAATGATATCACAGAGTTTGTAACTTTTAAAGGTCTTATGATAAAGCTTTGTTACAAATTCAACATGTTTTGTCAAAATAAGTAGGACTCTTAAACTTTTTAAGTGAATTTTTTGTGGCTTATAAATGAATAATCAAGATAATATAGCTGGAAAACAGATTCATTTTACCCCTAATTGTGTCCACACACTCAATAAATTTGTTTCAACTTCTGTTGTGTAAAAATATTTAGGATTATTTAAAAAAATACTAGTATTTAAAAAAAATATATGTTTTATAAGTGTTACTAATTGGAATAGTAAAGGGGTGCAACAAAAAATAATACTGAAATAGGTAGGTAATAATCACACTGAATAATTTGAAATACATAATATTTCTGAATTTTGTAGTTTTGTTTTTGTTTATACAATTAATTTTGACGATGGTTAATATCTCAATACCACTTTGATTATCAGTATTGTATGCTTGAAGCATTTTTTATCGGTTAAATATCATATTTAAGTGGAAAGTTATTTTAATAGCTACTAATATCGGGTTAAAGCATTAAATAATAATCACTTGTTCATAAGTATTGTTATTTACAGCCATGGAATATCTTTTTTGAGATTATTAACATTGATTGTCAATTGTTTTGTAGAATATATTCTTCAATCCTTAAGTAGATAGTAAAATAAAAAGTGCGATTACAAATGAAACGTACTTTTTCACTTAATATTGTTTACTATATTCGAATGTTTCGCTGTATATTCATCCCATAAGTTATTGTCTACGATGAGCAAATCGTAGTCCTTGGTTATTCTACCATACTCGATTCCGTAGTCAATGAAGGATGCAAGCGTTTTCCGCATTCGTTTGGGAGGAATCGTGTCTGCAACACAACGGAAGAGACATTGAATACTCAAGTAAAAGCATTGATTGTTCAACCTTAAAATGTATAAAAATAATTAGAGATTTGAATGTAATTGATTTTTGTAATTTTCTTTTGCAACCAGCTTATTAAGCCTCTAATTAGCAGGGAATCTGTGGTAGTTATACATTGTAATAGATGATAGTGCTCTAGCTAACTAGTTGTCTAGTTACGTCCAACTTGGTATTATGTTTCATAATTGAATTCCGGATACTGAAGTAGACCATCTATAAGGACCAGTAATTATTTTATTCAAACGGAACAAATATGAATCGAAATTATATTCTATCGATTTGGTTTTGTCTGAGATAGCTTATATAAAATATGCAGGGATTATTTTATAGTAAATAGGTACATTAACAAAATTAAAATATTATGGATTTATTTGTAACGATCTTTTTGAACCCTCCTTCTTTACATTAGCCCTTTAAATACTTTCCAGCACTTCACATTTAACTAGTTTTTATCACTGGAAAAGCTTTCCTTCGTCACAAAATTAATTGTTCCCCAAGATTTCTACATACACTCCTGTCAAAACAATTGGTCCCTTGGTTGTGTTTCTACAAGCGATTATGGGAATTAAATGTCTCAACTTGTATTATTATTCAAAGGGATTTTCGATCAAACTGGGGTTTATTCAACTGTTAAACTTACCTGACCAGTCTCCAAACAACAGAATGTCTATCTTGCTTCCTACCAACTCCGGGTACGGGAGACTTGGGTCAGACTGTCTCTTCCACCCTCTAGCACAATATGCTTCACCGTCCGCTCCCACTACAAAACTAACAGAAATATTATCAAGAAGAAACTAGAATGTGAGTAAATACACATGAAAAAGGGAAGGGTTGGAAAATAAACCCAAGAAAATCTTTAGAAAATTTTGTACGTATATGAATTATTCAGAGCTTCGTTAATGGTGTTGATAAGGTAAAATGTTTTCTGAATATATTAAATATTTTATGCAGTATCGTACAGGAACGTGTCCTTTTAGTAGATACCTGTTTTGAGAGTTAAAATATACAGATTTAATGATAATTATTGCAGTAATGAGTTGAATAAAATTAGTGTCTCAAGATACTGAAGTAAATGAAATTCTTCTTCTTAAACCGGAAATTGTTTTGCAGAAAAACACTATTTTTTGTTATTTTATAAAATAATAAAGATATTTTAATTGTAGCATTTTCTCCTTAAAACAGTATAATGTATTGGCATATGGTGTTATGTTGCACTATAATGCTCAATGAATAAAAAAGATTAAATAATATACATATAAGATCAGTTTAAATGTACGCAAATTTCTAGATTTTAGTAAAACGTATGGAATTGGTTCATTAAATTCATCTACACATATAAGAATATCAAGTAATAATACTTAATTATGTTTTTGTGATGAACTAGTACTTAATGACCCTGAAACATCGATAAAATATGTAAAAAAACGTACACTTTGGTTGACAGCTTTACATGAGTAATAAAAACTAAACTTTACCGTTAGCGAACGATTTTTATGGCCATAGGCGAAACGGTTATGCAACTTTATTTAACGTTTTATTACAGTAAAAGGTTTATGGCCCTAGTTATGGCTTATGCAACTTTGCATGAAGTAGGGTCATAAAATTAGGTTGTTACTGTTACTCACTTATGCAAAAAGCTTTTTGTCATTACGTCTCAACGGTTTGCATTAAAGTGGTAACACAAAATGTTTGTTTACTTAGGACGGTTGGCAGCTTGAAACAACTACATTTCTCTAATATTTCATATTGTACAGTATCTTATTCTACAAGTCTTACAATAGTTATTTCATGGTATGCACTCCTACATACAGTAGAATATAATAGAACAGTAATTTATTGTACAAATTAGCACGAAAGACAATAATAGTCATCAGACCTTCTGCCCAGTTGTAAAAACAACACTCCTACAAATAATTTCAAACTCGATGGTCCAAACTCACCTGAAGAATAATATGTAATTCAAAAATTGTGTAACCTATAACTGTTTAACTGTAACTGTAAGTTACTCAATAGCCAGAGTATTTTGAGTTCAAATCCCGCCAACCAACAATGGTGTTTATCCATGTGATAATTCCACGACTCTATATATTACTATCCTGAAGTAATCTGTAAAAAGGTTACTATAAAATGTGCTAGAAGCTAGAGTGCATGATGTGAAGGTGGGAAATTGAAAAGGTAAAATTTGATACACATAAGTTGCACCTTATAAAATAAAGATATTTCGTCTTACATTTTTCCTACCTAACTAAGAGTAGTTTCTTATTACTAAATTTCTTTTGGTTGTTTCTCCACTAGTAAAAAACAACAAGTTAGCAATTTCAATGTAAATTGGGCTAAACAAGTAAAGGTTTTTTGGATGAGAATCAACGTATCACAACGACCAGTTTACATTCACACCCACATACTTATCACATTTATCTGATCAAATGTAAAATATACTTGACATTACCTTACTTGTAGGGTATGTCCTCGAATCCTAGATCCTGGTATTTCTTGTACAATTGTCGCATCATCTCCATACAATGATCATACCAGGTGCAAGTATCTGTATGTGAGTTGTAGTGGACAACCACCTTAGTCTGAGGAGGCTTCATAGGAACATACTTCTTCCTTTTGGGGACAGTGTTCTCCCAGACGGCTCGGAAAATTGAGCAAGAGCAGTTTCGGAAGTCCTTTCGTTTCATGAATCTGCATGGCAAAATAAAATGACTTTTAGATGGTATAATCTATAAAGAAGTTTGTTTTATATTTGGAAAAAATTAAGACAATGATGGCTAATGTAGTTCCAATATTTTAATTATTAATATGAGTTAGTGTTGTAGTTAGTTATCTTTAGTTATTTTAGGAGTCAGTTGGTTTACTGTTAAACCGATACATAAAATGTCAATCCATAATATCTCCAACTAAATGCTCATAAATATTATATGTACTGAGCGAATTGTCAACTGCAGCACTAAAAGAGAGAAACCCAAAAGAACAACCAATTCCATATACTCTTTAGACATGTTTTCATTAAACTCTGGCTTATGCAACGTAATTCTGTTTTCTGCTTTCTATTGTTTAAATTGTTTTTACATTCAGTAAAAATGTTTAAGCTGTATCAATTTAATATGCTAAAACTTCGTTTTACGTGGATTAGGATTGGCATTTCCAATTAAAAAACATTTAAAAACTCATCATCTTTATGCTTCTAATTCTATTTTCCCGAAAACCATTAAAAGATCCGAATGAATGAGCAATCCTATTCTGGAAAAATATTATACTGTATTTCTGTTTTTGTGTAAGGTGGTTCGGTAGAAGATTTTTACCACATGAGACATTGTTGGATTTTATTAATATCTGCAGATTATGAATTAGACGTTAGATAACGTGGTTATAGGATATTTGTAACCAGATTCAACTATTAGTTATATTACAACGTTTCAAATACAAACAGTTATTTCAAAAATATTATATATTTTATTGTTATGCATTAAAAAAACAACTATGCTTACATAGAGCGTAAATGCCTAAATAAACTAAACTAATGCTTAAGGTCAAGCTTAAATAACTAACATCGCTTGTCTACATTTCCTGTTAAAAAATTAAAAATAAACAAAGGCAACTATAGCCAATGTACCAACCATGTGTATTATATTTATGACCAATGTTTGTTTCTGTCATAAATAAAATAAAATATTGTCCTTATACTTTGATTACATTTTAGCTCAGTAACCATTAAAGCTACATATGATTCACAACTTTTGACCAACCAACACTTTATCCTACCTCGATTAAATGTAGTTTGTATTAGACTAAATCTTTCACCAAAGTCACATGTAGAAAACCCGAACCAAATGTAAATAGTTGAAAAAACACACTACCGCAACTATCTGTACGATAGGCACAAGTTTTATCAGTAATGTTAACACATTTTTATCTTATAGTAGAGACTGAGTTGTTATAATATAAATTACAAATACGGAACTTAATACTTAATTAATACCACTATAATACTTCATTCCATATTAACTACACTTAAATTATTTAAAATAATCCTTCCAAGATTTTTATAAATGATTATGAATGTGAAATAGAAATGAAAATATGGTACTTATAAATTGTATTTTGAAATGTAAAATTAACTAAATACCATGGAAATCGAAACTTTGGGTATAAGCCTATTAATAATTTGTTGTTATTGTTTTTAGTGCGACTAACTTTAAAGACGTTTTATATAGTACTAAGATTGTTATTTTCCCCTAACATTTTGTTCAGTTCCTTGCCTTAGGGGATAAACCAAGTGAAAACCATAAAACAAAAAGTGTTGAACTCCATAGATTTTATTAACATTAATTTAACAGTGGAAGAAGTGCTCCTAAAATTATGCTTCAAAACCAATACCACTTCTAACCACTCTTCGCATGCGATTCAAACGAAAATAATGTCATGCATGATTTACAGTGTTCTGCTTTAAGTGGTAGCCCAAACTTTCGTTATACAGCACCATTAACCAATAGCCAAATGACAAAAGGCATCAGGTTACAAAAACAATCTCATTTGGAATCAAACCAGTGACTTCCAGCTTTGAGGGCGAATAATTAAATTAACTACCTGGTCAATTAAATTTTTTAACCCTGAACAGCAATATTTTGTTGATGGTTTGTAGTCACTGTTATTTGTTACCTATATTATACAAGTAATAAAGTTTTTTTTTTTTGGGAGAGTTTTGAAAATGCATTTACCCTCACATGTGAATGCAGGGCCTATAGTTTTGGACTCTATTTAGTAGAGTATATGCAGATACAATGTTTTAATATATATAATAAAAATACCAATATATATATTATAACAGTGTATGTGATTTATAATACGATGAGGTTGGTACGATTGTCCAGGTAACATATATTTTCGCTTATCGCAGTGCGACACTCCAGAGAGTAGTCTCAGCAGAAAAGCAAAATCCACTTTAGTCAACTAAAACCTCTCTTTCTAGCTGCGATATAAGCCTTAAAACATGTTGTGAATTACGTGCTTGAACTGTATATAGTTTGACATTCGTAAATATTTACTGTTTATGATACTTTTGTTTTAGTTAGGCATACAGAAAAAAAATTATAGTGTAGTCTCAAAGCTTTTATTAACTGTAACTTGTATTAAAATACTAAATTAAGGATACGATATATTGAAGATAGAGTACAAAATCGATAGAATACAACAAACAAACTCACACAGGGTAGGAAAGATAAATGATCAAGATTGCACAACTGTTAAACAAACTAATAAAGTTAATTACTTCGATATTTTAAGCAGTGCTGACAACTGCGAGTAAAGTGTGTCTTATGATATTAAATATATAATATAATATATATGACTTAAACATGCAGTAAAAGTAGGTAAGAGAAATTTGTTCACATTATATTGCCTGTATATATATTTTTTGCAAGGAACATCAAATCAGTTGAATGAATTTATTGTTACCTTAGTGGAAAATTGGCCTATACTTTTTTCTAAATAAATTTATATGGACAAAGGAAATTAAAAATAAATACATTATTTAAACATAAATGAATGTTTAAATCTGATTAATAAATGGATTGTGGCCTATTGTACAAAAAAACTAATGGTACAAAATCTATATTAATAATAAATCTAAAATAAATCCATACAATGTTGAAGTAACACTTTGTTACTAACTATTTTTTCCCCAAATGACCGAAGTGATGTCCACATAGTCAGTAAGATAAGAACGTCCTCTATCCATCATTCCCTGTAGGCTCCATCGCTTCTTCATTCGTCAATGTCTAAGGTACTTGTACAGATTTTTACTATCCTGATTTTCCTTCTTACCTTTTGTAGCTTGCCTTGGTCCATCCAGTGTATATTATATATCTATAATTTCAATATTCAATTATTAATATTTATTATACAGCTTTTATTTCAAAGACCTGGGAGAAAAAAATACTCTCGTAGACAGTTAGTAAATCGATACGTTAGAATACATATAAACCAAAAGGTGTAAATTTAAAATTAATAAGATGTATATAACATAAAAATTTGCTGTATCTAAACCAACATGCCTAATGAATATATCAAGAAATATGTAAACTGCTAAAATTTTAAAAAAATGTTCTGTAATCAATTACAATCGAGGATGTTTTTACAGAAGAAGTTAGAATCAAAACGACTATAAACACTTGAAGAAAGAATATTGAAAATCTCAACTTATTGAATTCTGCATTGCATATGTTGAGAATATCTTTAATAACGAAGTTATCGATGCGGATGTTTTAAATGAAATTGAGTTCCCTAATATGCTTAGAATATAGAAACACATAAAATACATAAAAAGACCAAATTGCAGAATATGTTTTCTACTATACTTTATGTGTTACAATAAAGTGTAACAACTATACGTATTGAAACGTACATATTGAAATACAGACGTTATGAGAGCATAAAATGCAATACCAAGTTAATTACAGAACTGAGTGATCTATGTAACCTCATCGGGGCAACGTAATCAATGTTCCAGTGATCTTGCAGAGTTATTTACATCCAATCCTGTATCAGGATGTGCCATATGTGACAAAATAAAATCAAGCCTTCAATAATCAAGTTTACGTTTTTGTCAAATATGTTGCCATATTCGTTAATTCTTCCTTAGTGGCAATTAAAAATACGTAGACAGATAAGCTTTGATTTTTAAGTATATTTCACATAGAGATAATCTTTTCTGAGTGTTCTTAGTTACAATTTCGAGATATCAAAAAATAAATATTAATTTCGAAAGACCAAACTGAAAAAATCAAAACGTTGTACACTATCTTCATTATAATTTAATTTTAAACAAAGCATTTATAATAACATCATGTCTATATATTAATGCCCAATAGGACAATATAGAAAGTATATTCAACCCTATAAAAATTAAACATAAAGTCATTTTTCCACTAAATCATTTTTTGAACCAGTTTGCTAAAATACAATTTAGTGAAATGAATTATAATACAATTTAGTTTTGTTAGACAAAACACATCAACGTTTTCGAATGTTATGACCTTAACTGTTTCAAATTATTAAACGTTTTTTGTAAGATAGTTTAAAATCAATAGGTAAGTTACATTTAAAATTTTTTTTTAGATTTGTATATGTAAACGATGTTTAAAGTACTAAACCAGTTTGGTCCAGATATAATCCAAGCAGTAAAACAACGTTTTGAAGAACATAAAGTTCCACTCGTTGAGGGCCGCAGCTGAAACCATGCTGAAATAATGGAATATTAAATAGTAAAAGAAAGAAAGTAGCCGGAAGGTACTCAACTGTTGTCAACAGTGTTTTCAGAAGATTTAACCGTTACTTGGTACAATTATTCTTTAAAAGTTGTAACGATAGAATCGTCTATGTTATTGTTTATCATATCCACTATACAACTTATGTTAGAAATATTAGCAAATTAATGTAGGTAATGTAATACTAAATATAAAGGTTCAAAAAGGCCAAAAAAGTATAATCTTTTAATTCCACAAGTGCTTTGAAAGCTATGTTTTTTTTTACTTTTTGTTTTAAATTTAGGATTACATTACATAACGACTATAGTAATGTGTAAAAAAATAGTATATTCTTATCAATAGCTAAGTTACAGTTGGTATCTTTTAAACCGGAAAATATTTACTTTTTAGTGAGTTATGTTTTGTTTTTTTTTTGCCCTAGAAGATAGCAGAGTCAATCAATAGCTACTAATATACATAGAATTGCGTTACACAAGCAAATAAATATTGTTTAGCATGAGGAATGGTCTTTGGTTTTTCATTTCATTATTTGTAGATTAATTTTCTTTTCATATACTCGTATTTTCAACTATAGAGAAAGAGTATTTTTTGTTTATTTTTGTCCTAAGACACTAGTCACGAGCCCGGGATTGTTTTTTCACGTTAATTCAGGCTAAACCAGGGGTTGCGGCATTATGAATTCGATAAAATCCATTGATAGTATTTGGTTGCATTCGAACCCGGGACCTCAGGGACCGAAGTCCTGCTCTCTAACCACTAGACCAGCTCGCCCCCCCATAGTGGACACTGAGGAACTATCTAGTGCATTATTTAATATCAAAATAGTCTCAAGGTAAATTACTAGATTTTGAGAAAAATTTAGCAATTTACAGTAACAGTAACGTATGCATAATAATAATTGTTTGACGACTTTGATTTTCCACCCAACGATCAACTAATCATCAACTTTAAGCCTTTTATCCACGGGTTGTCAGCCACATGTAGCAATTACTCACTGGATATCCAACCCCACTCAAACCGTTGACATTGGATCAACCGCTCACAAGCAATTGCTATCCGAATATGAGAATCCATGTTGATTGGCTGGAGTAATTATTACGCTGTAATTCTCAGTAATTAAATATTATTTTGCAAATGTGTTAAGGTAGTTACATTTTTAGTGAAATGATTTTAGTATATTAGAAATAATCGTGTATTGTATATACATAGAGTTACTACACATAAACATATATAGTATGAAATACATGTGTATGATATTTTAGTACACCTTAACAACTTTTACAACTTTGTTCGAGAAACATAGACACTTTTCATTAAAAGATTATATTATAGGAAATTAAATTTTAATTAAAGTAACGACTGCTAAAATATATCTTTTCGCATTATATTTGAGAACCTCTTAATTCCATAATAAAAATAGGTACATATCTCGTTACACTTGGTGCTAAGGTAACACTAAGCTTCTATTTATGATTTTATCGTATTCTAGGTTTTGTGAAAAAGACTTTTACAGGTGTAATAAAATTTACGTAGTCGTCCTTTTGTTTGAAATTCTAAAGAGATGCAAATGCAAACTACAAAGAGA